TTTGAGCTTCCACTCCTGATTTGAGAAGCGGGATGAGAGAGTAGAAAACAGTACATCTGCGGTCAGACTCCCCACAAATTCACCTCAGTCAAATCAATTATATGGTTTCTTAACAAGGCTGTGATAAAAGCTTGCCCTGGAGACACTTCTTGTGTGTGCTGTGCAAGTGTGCACTTCAAGGGTTAAGGTGGTAACAAGATCTTTTAATAAACGATCTTCTCCAAACTTCTTGTTCCTTACAAAATCTGTCACTCTTCCACTTCCTTTTATTCTAAACAGCAGCAAAGTGAAGGAGAACCTCATTCACAGCAAGCCATTACAGGTGTTATTGTGAAGGTTGTTGGACCCATTTCCTTCTGAAGAAGGCTTTGTTTGAGAGAGGAATTGCACGCTGAAGAATAATGGTGTGAAGTGACAAAAATGGAGATAGTTATCCGTAAGAAATTGCACAGGATGGTATGAGGAAGCACTGGCAGCAACAGGTCTGCCTGGGAGTAAGTCTTTAGGAAATGTGGAAATGAACTGAACTTGTTTTTTATTATTATTTTAATGGTTTTTGTGACAGAATTCATTTAATCAGAAGATACTTTGTCCTCTTACTTTTCCTCCTCCCTCCAAGATGGAAGGAAGCTTCCAGAAGCCACATAATTCTGGTTCTATTTAGTTCTTGTAATGGTTTAATGAAAACAAACAAACAAACCAAAAAAACCCCACACATGACTTGAGGTCGAGGCTTTAGTTGGGGCATTTTTCCCCTTTTTCCCTCTAGCACCAATGTCTATCTTTTTGTTCTTTCACATTTGAATTTGCTGCTTTTTTCAATAAAAAGGGAAATTACGGTAGCAGAATTGAAGAAATCTGGCAGAAAAACGCATATCCTCAAGCCAGGCTGCTTTTCAGGTCTTTTTATAAGAACTTCTAGAATATTTTTTTTTCTATCTTTCAGCTGTCTATACCACCTTTTTCTTACCCAATGAGTATGTAATTCTAACGTCACTAACATTGTCAGTTATTGTCAGCTGCTTGAAAATACTGTGAAAGTGCTGAAGATTTATCTAGACTGAATTTGGTATGTTAGTTTGTGAAATTAAAATATGTATTGGAAGTTTAGTGTGTGAAATCTGTCTTTGGAATTGTGTTGTTTTCCGTTGATGTGCATCTACCTGATGCTGTGTTACAGGGCAAGCAACAAGAAGCTTTTCCTGGAAAAGACTTGACATTAGAAAACCATTTGTGTTTTTACTGCCATATGAAATGGCGTGATGATATTTATGTAGAACTGTCTTGCAGTGTTCACATCTAACATGCACTTATTAAAAGATGGCCAGCATTTTAAAAGTGACCCTTTTGGGGTTTTTTTTCTCCATTATAAGACCCTGCTCTGCCTTGCTTACAGCTTTGCTGGACTTTAATGATTTGTATTGAGTCGCCAAGTAAGTGTGTCTGGCTGAATTGTTTTGTAAAACTTCATCCAAGAGTGCTTGGTTGCTCATGAGAATGTGACTAAGAAAAATGTTTTCCCATATGAAAATACTGGTATTGTAGACTTCTTTTGTTGGGGTGAGGGGCTATTTTTCTGTAAATGTTCCATCTCTAGGGTAAAGACAAGACTTTAGTAAGAGAGATTATGTTTCAGATATATGCCTGGTTATATTCTGGAAGAAATTCATCCAATTTTGAGGTCTGAGGCTGGAACAATCTCAGTGAATTCTCAAGGACTGAGAATAAATGAGAGTAAAAGGACTGAGAGGTGGATTTGATACAGTCTGTGAGAGACTTGTGATGAACTGGGAATAGGAACTAGGAGTGAATAATGCTCTAAGTGTTGGAGGTCTTTGCTTTCTTTTCAACCCATGGAATTAATTCTGGAAAAGTAAGCTGGAGCAGGGCACGTATGCAGGCAAATTAAAAACTGTCCCGTGGGTGAGGGAGCAGGATGCTGCTCTGGAGAAATGAAGCTTCTCCCTGCCTTTGCCAGAGGATTCCCCTGTTGTAAGGGAGATCAGCTAGAGCAGAGTGGTCACCGTGTGTGCTCCTTATTTACTGGGTGTCCTGCTTGATACCCATGAGGCTGAACTGCAGAATTCCTAAGTTATCTGTTAAACCAATTTGAGATCAAGCTATCCAAAATGAGGAGATGCTTGCTGCAGATTCTTGTCTGTAAAAGTGGAGGGTTAGAATTCCCATACCTCATTAGGGTGCCACAGAAATAAATTTATTTCTTGACATGAGGTGAAAGTACAGAAAAAGAAACCTAAGAATTTTAAGTTCAGAAGAATAAGTAAAGGATGGGGTCAGACATTGCAAAGAAAACTAAATGTTGAATAACTCCTCACTAACTGAATAGCATCAAACTGTGCGCTGAATGAATGAGGAATACAAGGGGAAAAACCAATATTTTAATGTTTATTTAGCCAATGATTTTGTATAGAGGTACAGGAAGGCTGAACTGAGTTTGGAGAAGTAATCTTCATTCTGACACCTCCTAATTTTTTGGGAGCATAATTTTGTAACCTTAATGTAGAAGAGTTTTTTTGTGTGACTTGAGTATACACAGACTCTTTCAATGTCATTATTGTTATTTAGCTAATTTATTTAAAGACGGTTCTGTTCTTTGAGATGGACACAAGGGGAGAACAACATTTGCATCAAAGTTTGAACTTGTGTCTTGTTGAATTAGGTTCTAGGGGAATGCAGAACAAGGACCAAGATGTGCAGCCACACTTATCCTCCTTGAAGCACTTTACACAGCGTGCCAAGTTCTGCAGCAGCTTTTATGTAGTGTATCCTGAAAGGATTTGTAGTGAGTTTCTCGAAAGCCAGTTGTATGGAACTGCTTTTTATGAGTGTTTGAGCAGTGTGCAGTGGAACACACCGGCTAATGCCCGTGTGAAAGGTGTCTAAGAGAAACTGGCCTGTTATGCTGAATCATGATTAAGCTGTGCAGAAATCAGGTGTACAAATCTCCCATGACCCAGGGCTTGTGTGACTAATGATACCAATGGTGAATCACTCTGTTACAGACCTAAGTGTTTCAGGAAAATGTCTTCATAAAGAAGAAATCCAGTGGGAGTGGATGAGGAAGGGACCTTTTACTAGAGGAAAAAAAAATATGGGGGAGTGCTAATTCCACAAAGTCTTGGTCTTCACTGAAATGTGAATTTTCCATAGTGCATCTTACAGCATCTTGGAGAAGCTTCATCGCCAGGCCCAGTTTTGCCATGTTTTCAGGTGTATACATTTTCTGTAGACTGCCTCAGAAAAATGAGGTTGGCTTTCTGGAAGGTATGCTTTATGTTTGATTAGTGAAGAAGGCTGTTGCCTGTAGACTTGTGGCCTCACTGGCTAAAGAGTTTGTGTAGTGGATGCAAGAGAAGATTGCAAAAAGAGAAGGAACTGGTTGTGTAGCGAAGGCGGGTCTCCAGGGTCATTGGGAGCTTGCTGGTGTGCAGCAATTGTTCTGCTGAAGACTCAAAAAGTTACACTTTTAAAATTGCTGAAGATGACATGCTGGATGAATTGATGACTCCCAGGGTACTGGGAACAGCATTTTGTGAATACACTGAAGTTTCTGTTCATGGGCTAAGCCACAAACAAGAAAAAAGTACATGGCAAAAAAAAAAAAGTTGACCTCAAACATTATTTGATACTGTTTTATTCTTTTAAGTTAGAACTGAAGTTAGAAAAAAGTATATGGCCAAAAAAAAGTTGACCTAAACCAGACTGTTTGATACTACTTTATTCTTTTAAGTTAGAACTAAAGTTAGAAATGAAATGGTATTTTCCTGTTTCAGAAACAAGGGTGTTAGATTTTGAAAATGTCAAAATCAAATGCATGGATTTCTTATGTACTTCCTTTAAAAAGCCAGAAATCACAGAAACTTAAATTGTGACTCAGTTGTGTGTTGATGGTGAGAAGGGAAACCCATTCTGGTTTTTTATCTTCTGCACACAGCACCCTGTGAAAATGTCATGCTCAGGTTTGCATCCCAGCCCCATAATCACTTTTAAGCAGTAAGAAGTGATCATGGGTGAATGCAGCTCCCTGGAGCCTGGCATTCCAGAAGCCCGGGGTATAAATTACTTACAACCTCTAGCAATCCATAGGTCTCCCGTTGCTGCATTTCCCCATGACTGTCTCACCAGCCCAATTAAATTCTTTTCCCATCTTGCTTTTTCCAAAAGCTGTAAACAATTAGAGTCTATACAGAATAAAATAAATTAAAAGCAATTTGCAGTCAAACTTCCTTGGCCTTTCTGTGGCATTTGGAAGAAGGGGAGGTCTCTCTCTGCTTGTCTGAGATAACAGATCCAGTTGCAAAAAAGCGTGGCTTGCATCTGGCTTTGGCCATGATATGTTGAATGTTGCAGAGGAGCATGAAGAGTGCCTAGAACTCTGATGCAGAGTGGTGGGTCACTGGTGTCTTTTGGTCACTGTCAGAAGCAGAGGCAGAAACCTGTACAACCCATTTCTGTGAGAGGTTTATCAGAGTGTGATCTGGGAGGTCCACAACAAGCACAATTCACTTGGCTGCAGCACTTTTCTCACTGACAAGCTGGAAGGGGTCAGGCTCTTGGAACGATGCCTGGTGAGAAGAGTAACAAGATGCTCCGTTTGGAGCCAGCTTTGTGAACTCTGCTCTTTTTACATAGTCTGTTCTGTCCCAACAGGCAGGGGAAATAGTTCCTGGGAAAGGCGTTTTAAGTTCAAATGACAGTTGTATTGATAAGGGACAGGGGTACATTTATTGGAATATGTTTGGTATCCTGTCAAGACCATTTGCAAGCAGCCTTTTGAATGGGTTTCCTGCCAACTGTGTTGTGAAAGGGACAGTTTGCTGGAATGTTTAATGTCAAATGACTAAAGAAACACTTTCCCTAAATATTGATATACTGAAATTCATAGGTGTTGGATTCCTCGTGTTACTG